GAGTTTGTTTGCAGACATTCCCGGATCCATCTCCTCCAAACCAAGCCAAAATTCATCCTTTCTAGCATGTAGTCCAGAAACTCCCAGCTGACATTGTCATAAGCCTTCTCGAATTCGGCCTTGAAGAGAAAACAACTCAATTTTTTCTTTTTAATTTCATCTATCGTCTCATTTGCAATAACTACGCCATCAACCAGTTGTCTTCCTGCTATGAATGCTGATTGTTGTTCACCTATGAGCCCGTCCAGCACTTTACTCAATCTGTTGGCAAGGATTTTTGCAAGGATTTTGTACATGCACCCTATCAGGGAAATGGGCCTGTACTCTTCAAGTCTTTGTGGGTTCTCTTTTTTGGGTAACAAAACCAAGAAAGAGGAATTGGAGCCCCTCACCATCTTACTATTGATGTGAAAGTCTGCTAGAAACTTCATTATATCCTTTTTTACCACTTCCCATTCTGCTTTCAAGAAACCAAAGCTCAAACCATCCGGACCTGGGGCTTTATCACTATCACAGTTCCAAACAGCTGCTTTGACCTCTGCTTCAAGGAACGGTTCTGTTAAGAGATCCTTTTCTGTTTCAGAAATTTTGTTGAAGTGGACACCCTCCATAATTGGCCGTTTCCAGTCCTCCGCTGTAAATAAATTCTTGTAATATTTAGTCACTCCTTGTTTCAGCTCTTCAACTTCATGCAGGGTCTTCCCGTTGACCATTAAGGAATTAATCTCATTCCTTCTCCATCTACTTTTGATGCATCGGTGGAAGAAGCTTGTATTTGCATCCCCTTCTTTCATCCACGTCATCCTTGATTTTTGTCTTGCCATTTCTTCTTTTTTTTGAATGTTTTCCCATAGATTTAGCAATAGATCTCTCTTACGAGAGCTTTCCTCCTCAGTGAGCTGCTGTAGTTCCCCTTTACAATCAAGTTTGGCTATATTATCTTTTGCTTCCTCAATTTGCTTGTCCACTTCCTGCACATGGCTCCTTGTCCATTCCTTCATACTGTTTTTCAATAATTTCAGCTTCTCTTTCAGCACATAACCCCCCCAGCCTTGGATGTTAAAACTGTTCCACTGTTTCTCTATCATTTCTCTGAAGACATGGTCTTGCAGCCACACATTGAAAAATTTAAAGGGTTTTGGGCCCTAATTGCGTGTTTCATCCTTTACCAGAATTGGACAATGATCTGACAGTGTTCTAGGTAACCCCCATTGCTTCAGCTCTGTCCAGTTAAGCAACCATTCCTCCGAGAACAAAGAATCTGTCCAAGCGGCTCATGCAATTACCATTCGGTTGATACCAAGTGAATTTTCTCCCTATCAGTGGAAGGTCCACCAGCCCACACATCTCAATAAACTCATTAAACTCCCTAAGCTCCCTCCTTACACTGATACCTCCTTTCCTTTCTTCAAGGTTTCTAATGGCATTAAAATCTCCAGCTATACACCAGTTTCCTTTGTTGGAACAAATGAGGTTTGATAAATTCTCCCATAAAATTCTTTTATTTACCAGATCACATGAGGAATAAACATTAACCAAATAGCAAGGAATGTTTTCATCTCCCCAAAACCCCACAACTTCCAGATACCCTGCACCTTCTAAAATGCTAATCTTCTTGAAAACAGTGGAATTCCATATAGTTAAAATTCCTCCTGATGCTCCATTTGCGGGTTGTGCAACCCACTCAAAATTATCTGAGTCCCAGATCATTCTACAGAGCCTTTTATCTACACTCTCCATTTTAGTTTCTTGAATAAACAAAATATCAACTTTCTGTTTAGCTACTAATTCCCGGATCTCCCTTTTCTTGCCTATCCCCCCTAATCCTCTAATATTAATTGACAATAAAATCATGGAAAATGGGGCATCACCTGGTCTCCTTTTCGGTTCTTCTTTTCTTCCTCATGTCTCCATCTTGCTTTGTCATGGCTTTCCATGTCTACCAATTTCTGCAGCACTGAAATTTCCTCTGTTTGTGCAGTCACTCCGAATTCTTTCACCCGTGACCACAGAGCTTCCATGTTCCTTTTTCTACTTCTCGTTTCAATGCTTTTATTACAATTCTGGATGTTGCTGTCGTTAATCGAATTATCTGCAATTGATTTCTCTGGATCTTTCTCAAACAGGATCTTCTTCTTTGTCTCAACGGCTGATTTTTTCTGCCCTTTGTTTTTCTGTTGAATCAAGAAGCCATCTAATCCCCCGGATTTTCTGTAAACTGATGCACAGGACTTTGCTCTACTCTTTTTCTTTCTTTTCCCGCGGCCATCATTTCTATTCATCCATCTTGCTTCTGTGTCTGAGTCGCTGCCGAGGTCGTCCCAGAAAGAAATTTCTGATTTCCTGTCCCGTGCTTTGGGTATGTTGCTTTTATTCTCCTTATGCTTCTTTGGGCCTATGTTTATTGATTCTTGTATATCATCCGGTTGGTCATTTTTCGGCCCAAGCTCCTCCAGAAGGCCCATTCCTTTAGTTGGCAGCCCATCATTTAATCCTTTATCAAATCTTCCTTCCTGGCCGCCTCTCCTGCAGTCTTCTGCTAATAAATCTTTTCTTCTTTGATAAGTCTTGTCATAGCTGCCCATTTTTGCATTTGTAATCAATTGGCTGTCAATTTGTAAGTTTCCTGTATCAACTTTATTATTCACCAAATCTGGATCCGTCCGAATCCTTCTTGTTTCTCCCACACGTTGAAAGTTTGAATTTGAATCAAGGAGCGTCCTTCTGCAATCGCCCATACCCTCTGTTTCCTGGACTATCTCGGTTCCAGTGCTTGCTTCCTCGTCCTCGTTCCTTTTGCTGCAAGCTGCCTCATCGCTGTGCTTAGCCACCTCAGCTTTTGGACTTGCCATGTTGTTCTCATTTTCATCCCCCATGTTCGGTGAAGCCACCTCATCCCTTTGAGTTGCCACCTCATACTTATTACCATCCCCCATGTTCGGTGATGCCACCTCATCCCCCACCTCAACCCTTAGCATTGCCACATCATCGTCTTCAATCCCCTGTGACTGTATCACAATCTGTTCAAAAATGTTCTCATCGGAATCGGAATGTACCTCATTCTGGTTATCTGTAGAACTGCTTTCTTCTTCCTCTTCACTGGGTGTATGACGAGTCCTGTCAGACCTCATGGTGAAGAGATTGTTTGTTGATTCCTCTTTTGTGAACATGAGTGTGAAGAATTCTCCATTGATCTTCACTGTGATAGACTTTGAGATAGATTCCATGGATGGTGTGGATATAAGGAACCTTGCAATGTCCAATCTCTCCTTGCTTATCGTGCTCTCATCTATCATTACAACATTTCCCCATAATCTTCCAAAGGTTTGAAAGGTCTCCGGCTTTCAAGCATGCGCTGGGAGCCCCTGACATCGGATCCAAGCGAATCTCTCCGCTGCGACCACTGTGGGTGTCCATGGCTTCACGTCTTCAAACCACTTTCCCAGCCAATCTTTACCAGTATCAACAAGCTCCTTCAAATCCTCATGTTCCTTGGCTTCTAATAACACTAATCTACCTCCCATTGGTCTAATGCTGGTAAAGAAAATTCCTTCCATGTAGAATTTTTCTTGCAGATTAGATATGGAGTTCACCGAGTGCACTGTACCCACAAAGCATTTTTCTAGCCATGCATATTCCTCCAAATCGACGTTCAGCTCCATACCTGACCAGTGCTGGTGTTGGTGTTTCGGTTTCCATTCCCTTTGTTGAGCTCCATAGACGCTAGCGCCATTGTTTCCATGCCGTTGCTCTGTTCCTTCTTTTCTTCTTTCTTGATTGGGCCTTTCTTCCATCCTGCTATTTGCTGCTTTAACTACCTCCGCATATGATGGTCTTCTACCATTACCATAAAGGCTTTGTTGTCTCCAGTCCCAAGCCTTGGATCGGTTGTTAGAAATCAGTGTTTTTTGACGATCCCACTTGGTATACCTTGGTTTGTTTGCTTGTAAGATCTGACTCCCTATTCTTACTTCATTCAATCTTCTTTCTAAAGCAGCTTCATTCTTCACATCCAGGAATCGAACAAACCCAAATCTTCTACCCAACCTATCCCTCTTCGTCGGGCAATCAATCTCCAGCACCCTTCCAAGGCCTATTCTGTTAAAAGTATGCCACATCTGCTCAAACGACCATTCCTCTGGAAAGTTAGTGAAGTAAAAAGGAACTGCCTGGTTGTATATTCTCTTGTCATAACCTCCCACCTCCGGTTGGAACCGTCCCCTATCCTCGGATCTGAACCTCTCATATGGCTGTGCAATCCGTTTACCTTGTGTTCTTTGTCCCCGAGCTCTCTCTCTCTCTCTACCTCTCATCTCTCCTTCCTAATATCAACCCGTCTTCTTCAACCTTAGCTGTCAAGGTCTTGTATGCAGATTATATCCATTCTGTCCCTCAGAATTTTCCCTTGAGTGAACAAAATTTTTATTAATTTTGACTGTTATTGGCATATTCGAAATTATATCATGTCACTTGTGTTTATTTGTAAACTTAAGCAAATTTGCTTGCAGGTTGGTTTAGAAAATGTCTTAGAGCGCATTGTTGAAACCCTCGAAGCAGATATTATGGTGTCCTACCTATTCCTAAAACCAGTATCCAAGAAGGAGGCTCCTGAGTCCTGACTACCTGAACATTTATAGACCACCCAATGGATCTGTTCACAATCAAGGACAAGGTGAGAAGGATGAAATACAAGGATTGAAATATTTTCAGACACACATATGGAGAATTGCGTACAATACTCACAAGTATAATGATGGGCGTAACCCAGGCATTCCCCACCTAGCGGATCAGCTTTTAAAACTATGTGACTACTTGTTGGATGAGTATCATGAGAGCTTGTCTGATGAAGAAGCTAGTATAGAAAGTAGGAATCCTTAATAGCGTTTTTGTCTAGAAGACCAATTAGCTAGGGAAGGGTATACTCTTGCTGCTTTATTTATTTTATTTTATTTTTTTAGAGTTGGTGGTATCCAAGGTTCGGAATGAAATTGTAATGTGTACTATATAATTGCATCCTCTTTCTTTTGTGTATCTGAATTATTATCCTATCTAATAGAGTTTTGTTATTAGTTCATATGATTTTTCTATTTCTAACTATTAGAAATATCTTCTACAAGGGTCACACTCACTGTATATAGGGTATACGAACAGGATATCTTTATTGACTCGAGGGATGTAATACTTATCTCATTGAGATATGAATTATGCTTGGGTACGAAGAATTTCAGCCAGTCACCCTTAACCTAATGATTAATTTCAAGTTTACATGTATTAGTCAGATTAATTGAATTAAAAGCAATGTAGTTGATACCGTTAGCGGCCGGTACATATTGATTTTGGAGGTTAACCGAAACGGAATAAGTTAAAATTTCGTTTCGGTCAAATTTCGGTTGTACCGGTCAAATTTCAGTGTACCGACCGAAATTTCGGGTACCGACCGGTACACCGAAATTTGACCGCTACATTATGCAAGAAGG